ATTAAAATCATAAAACTTGTTGTAAATATAAAACAATGAACAAAATGATTGTGCCTAAATTCACATTAGACCAGAATATAGTATTTAATTGAAATAAATGTGCATCAGATATGCATTAAATGTTTTTCATATTAATTATGAATAGGTTTTATGTTATTTTATACATATTTTGCACTCTCAATATAATTGACTAAATCTATATAAAAATTCATTATCTTAATTAATTCTCCAAAATTAAAATATAGATAAATCAATAATGGGTTAAACAGAATATGAATAAAATATATGTCAAATATTGGGAAATTGTATTATTATTGAAATATTTAATTGTATTTCTGTTAAAGATTTCTGTCATTTTTTTTAACAATTCGTTGTCAACTTATTTAGTTTTTAAAAATTACAGACCACTAAATTATGGCACAAATTATTATAATATTTTAACTAAATTTTACTAAAAACATTGAAAGGATGTATAATTTAACATAAATGCAATTAGTTTTGTAAATTTGGTCAATTCTGTTGTGAATATAATTTATAGTAAAGAATATATACAGTACAGTATGATATGGTTAAACATAATAAAAATAATCTAAAGTCTCATTGTATTAATATTAATAATACAATTTTAAAAGCATAAATATAATATAAAATTTGTTTTTAGTATAGTTTAAATAATTGATTGATTTTATAAACAAATTTATAGCAATTTTATTATACAAATTAAAAATGAAATATTTTAATTCTTTAATAAGATTTACTTTATTTTCTATCATTTGTTTTATAAATGTTTTGCATTTACAAAACACATTTCATTCAATCAATATTCACAGGCCATTCCAAAATAAAAAGGGGCTTTTATTATTTGAACGTGGTTATTGTTTGAACTTGGTAATATTCTATATATTACTCACAGTAAATGTGAATAGTGTATGAATAATGTGCACTATTTTTTATAAATTTGCCCTACGTTGGCCCTAGGTTGGAATGCTGTGAATATTCATAACAAATACAATAATATTAGCAAAGATTTATTAAATAGTAATGAGTTTGTATATACAGTGTTTTGAGCGAAACAATCTTTAGTTAACAACTTTCTTTGTTTTGTTTAATTTAAAATATAAAACATTACTTAAATTAATTAAGAAAAATATTTACCAAAAGAATTCAATGTTTATCACAATAAATGAGTTTTAAGTTATTATTACTTCCAATAAGTTATACTTTCTTTAAACTAATGGTTTGATTATAATCTTCGCGAACGCATCCATTGGGCAATAAAAATGCAAACTTTGTCGGGTTTCTCATCAAATGTTTTGGCAAATTAGTCATTGTCTTGGACTTAGGAATCGCACCAAACTTGAGCACCAGTTCCCGAAAACTATACACTTCGGGATACATGTCGTACACATCCTCTCCATTGCATATCTTCTTCTGGATCTCTTCCTTCAGTAACAACTTCTCGTCCATAACTCTATCGTTGTGTGAATACGAAGTCATTTTGAATATGAAGTCCGAGATATTTCTGAAGCAGAAGGAACAGTGCCATCCTATATGTGGATCAACAACAATGTTATGCATACTATTACTACCATAGTTAAAGTATTCATATTTACCCGCGTCGGCCAACAAGTGGTCGGACAGTCTTCCGTGTCTGTAGTGGAAGTTGTTGTCATAGATGGAGATGTGAGCCCTCCAGCTGTCATCAGTGCTGTAGAAGTATTCAAATGAATACAAATACATATTGAGCTGCAAATGCATGTTATTTGAAAATCCCGTACAATCTCTCAACAACTGTACGGTCTCTTCGGATGGAATCTCGTCCACATCCGAGCAGATGATTATATCACCGGTTTTAGCGTATTTGGACACAACTTGATCCAAATAACCTCTCATTTGACC